TGAGCCCAGGAGCTGGAGGTTGCTGTGAGCTGTAATGCCACGGCACTCTGCCCGGGGGACAGCTTGAGGCTCTGTCTCCAAAAAAAAAAAAAAAAATAGCTGGGCATTGTGGCGGGCGGACGCCTGTAGTCCCAGCTACTTGGGAGGTTGAGGCAGGAGAATCACTTAAGCCCAAGAGTTTGAGGTTGCTGAGAGTTTGAGGTTGCTGTGAGCTGGGACGCCACAGCACTCTACCCAGGGCGACATAGTGAGACTCTGTCTCAAAGAAAAACATTATTGGGAGGCGCCTGTGGCGCAAAAGGGTAGGGCACCAGCCCCATGTGCTGGAGGTGGCGGGTTCAAACCCAACCCCAGCCAAAGAAAAACACCATTATTGAACTAAAGACCTAAACAAATGGAAAGACATCTTGTGCTCATGCATTGGAATAGTCTATACTCTGCTTGAATCTGTCGATTCAAGACAATCTTTATCAAAATTCCAACTCCTTGTTTTTTTTGGGGGGGGGATGGAGGCGTTGTATTTTTTTTCTTTTTGAGACTTGGTCTTGAATTTGTGATCTTAGGCAATCGGCCAGCCTTGGCCTTCAGAGGGCTAGGATTACAGGCAGCCACCACACCAGGCCCAGTCATTTTAAAAAGAAAACACAGGTGTAAATCTTTATAACGTTAGACAGCACTTTCTTAGATATGATACCAAAATCAACCAAAGAATAATTTGACTTCATCAAATTAAAAACTTAGGCAGCACCTGTGGCTCAGTGGGTAGGGGGCTGGCCCCATATAGGGAGGGTGGAGGGTTCCAACCAGGCCCAGGCCAAACTGCAACAAGAAATAGCCAGGCGTTGTGGCAGGCCTCTGTATTCCCAGCTACTGGGGAGGCTGAGGCAAGAGAATCACTTAGCCCAGGAGTTGGAGGTTGCTGTGAGCTATGATGCCATAGCACTCTACCGAGGGCGACAAAATAAAAGTCTCAAAAAAAAAAGAAATTAAAAACTTTCGTGGGGCAATTAACCATATACAATAGTTAGGCAGTCTTTCTGTGGCTCAAGGAGCAGGGCGCCGGCCCCATATACTGGAGGTAGCAGGTTTAAAGTCGGCCCCGGCCAAAAAAACTGGAAAAAAGTATAACAGTTCACTTCTGTACAATTCTACAAAACCAGAAATGACTTCCCCCTACTTACCAATGGATTCATGAGACCAAAAGGAAGGTCCAGCCCACTTTCATAGGGTGAGCCATAATTCAACACTGCGGAGAGCTAGGATAGTTATGGGCCCCCACTTTGGAATTAAAAGGCCCAAGTCAAATACCAGCTCCACTACTTATTAGCTTTGTGAAATAGGGAAATTATCTAAACTATTCTGAGTCCAGTTTCCACAGCCATAAAATGCAGATAATAATACATCCTATATAATCGGAATTTTGTGAGATTTAAATGACTAAATCACCTACTCTAGCACTTGTTAACTTAAATAAGCCTCAGTAACTGATAGCATTTATTTTAGTCCTAAGTAAAGCCATCAATGTAATTTCCCCACAAATTCCAGGGCAAATTTGTCCAGAACCAATCCGTGTTAGAAATGATAAAACCTTGGGAAAAAAAAGAAACGATAAAACCTTGAATTAAAATGAGAATTATTCCTCTGCCTGGTAACCCGTAAGCAAAGTAGCGCTAACAATGGACCTTTGGGTTTTCTCGGACTGCCTCTGAGGAGTCTTTGGGGTTCCTACATTGCAGCTTTCCTCCAGAGCCAGGAAACCCAGCGCCAGGTACTGAGGTACCGTAAACGCTCCTCGGGCTCTGCAGTCTGGAGCTCCAAACAGGTCTCCTAAACTAATGCGCGTCAGTAATGAGAAATCTCTTTGGCGCCGGTGGATGACAGCGGCACTCAAGATCTACGCAAGGAAGAGGCCGCAGCAGTTCCCGTGAAAGCTAAAGGCCCGCGAGCACATACTCCAACAAAGAAACTGGACACCCTGACCCTCGATTTTTTGCCGGGGTCACCTGAGCTGTTCCCTCCAGCTCCGCCACCTACTTGGTTGAGGCCTCCATGGGCGCCGCCATCTTGCCCAGCAGGGGTCGCGTTTCCGCCGCCGCCAGATTTCAGCTTCCGCCCGGCAGCGGAGCCCCGCCTCCAGGGCTTAGCTCTGAGGGTTCTTGCGACTGTCTCTCAGCGTCCGGGACTTCTAAGCTGCAAAGCTGGGGGTTCCCTATCCTGCATAAACTCTGTACCAACACTCAAAACTCACATCCTTTTGATGTACAGCAGGCATGCCTTTCTACACACATGACACCATGACAGGGACAAACAGTTCCTCACACGTCACTCTGCGCTCAGCAGCCTGCATAATCACATCTTACAGCCCAGCACTCAAGCCTGCTCCCCACAGGCAGCACACAGAACCGTGCACACCGAATGTGACCTACCCAGTGTGTTTATGGACAAGCAAAAAAATAACTTTGAAAACAGCCCAAGAAAAGGAACACTGCCAGAGTGCACTGCGGAAATTGTAGTGGTGAGAAGAGAGAAGAAAACACTCTTACTGCCAGCAAATTTATCCTCTTCCAGGGCATCTTGCCTTTGTTCATGGCAGTCTACCTGCTTGGAAATCCTCCATGTCATTCCTGTCCCCAAAGTCTTTCTCATCCTTTAAGACCTAGCAGGAGTCAACTCTAAAACCTCTGCCAACTAACCCTACTCACTAAACTTTCCTTGGAATCACCTGGAATCTTAACACCCACTTGTGTGGCTTGTTGAAATGTACTGCCAACTACCAACTGTCACTGGTTGCCTTTTCACAAACATATGTCCTGTTCCCTTGAATAGACTATGAGTTCTTTACCAGCACCAGACCTTGTTCTTTGCATCTATAATGCTTAGTACCCAGCATGTTGGCATGCACATAGTAGGACTTTAAGTCAAATTGATGCTTGATTGAAGAACATCTTAGGGCAGTCAAAGTCCAGTGGTTCTCAAACTTCAGCAGGCATCAGAATCAACTGGAATCTTGTTAAAATGGATTGCTGGGTCTCACCCTCAGAATTTATGATTCAGTAGGTCTCTAATAGAACCCAAGACTTTGCATTTCTAACAAGTTTCCTGAGGCTTCCACTGGTCTAGATATATATTAAATGGAATCCTTCTCAAATGCTCTTGGTCTCAACCACAACAGTAATTTCAATTACTAGGATTTAGCCAACCTTAAGGTTCAAAATAGTACTAGACCAGGTGGGGAGGAGGGAGGGAGAAGGGAGAGGGGAATGGGTGGAGGGAGGGGAAAAAAATAAAAATAAAAATAAATAAAATAAAAATAGTACTAGACAAGGTCAGAAGCTGTGGGAGGGAGATTGCCAGGAGAGGAACTGGACCTAAAAATGTATTAGGAAATCAGCTGGGTGCGGTGGCTCACACCTATAATCCTAGCACTCTTAGGAGGCCCAGGGGGATGGATTACTTGAGCTCAGGAGTTCTGAGACCAGCTTGAGCAAGAGTGAGACCCCATCTCTAAAAACAGCTGGACATTGTGGCAAGTGCCTTCAGAAGCCACAGTGCCCTGCCTATAAACCCAGTACTTAGGGAGTCCAAGGTAGGAGGATCACTTGAGGCCAGGAGATGAAGACCAGCCTGGGCAACATAGAAAGGCTTCATATCTATAATATGTTAATATCTATAACAACAACCACAAAAATTAGCCAGCCATGGTGGCACAGGCTTATAGTCCTAGTTACTTGGGAAGCTGAGGTGGGAGGATTGCTTGGACCTAGGAGTTCCAGGACATCATGCTACTGTTTTCTACCCTGGGCAACAGAGTATAACCCTGTCTCCAATAAAATTTTGTTTTCCCAACCTCTTTCATGAACATTTTTTTTTTTGCAACAAAGTGTCTCTCTGTCACTCCTGCTAAACTGTAGTGGCATCATCATAGCTCACTACAACTTCAACTTCTAGGCTCAAGTGATCCTCCTGCCTCAGTCTTTTTTTATTTTTATTTTTTTTTATTTATTTATTTATTTTTTTTGAGACGGAGCCTCAAGCTATCCCCCTGGGTAGAGTGCCATGGCATCAGGCTCACAGCAACCTCCAACTCCTGGGC